CTTTCTGGCCCACGTGTGATAAAGTCGTATGAAAGGTTTCTGACTCAGGGTGCATCTACACCATAGAAACAATACAGTTTGACACCACATTATTATGTTTATGTTTATGATGTTTATTTATATCCCACCTTCCTCCCAATACAGGGACTCGAGGCGGCTAACAAATCTAAAACAGTCTAAGTTAAACAATATAAAATATTAAAAATACAAAGATTAAAAAACAATTAAACAATTTACCTGCCATGGCTTCATCCTACAGAATCTTGGGATTTGGTGAGGCACCAAAGCTCTCTAACAGCCCAGGCTGATTACCTCACCAAACTACAAATCCATGCAGCTACAACCTCAACCCCTAAGAGCAAGATCTGCTTGTCATCTGCCTTTGTTTTACCTCAGAGGATTAGTGGGTTTTGCTGTGCCAAAATTTTTCTGTCATACCCCAAACAACATAAGGGGTCTAGGCTTTGATAGTGGCAGGTTACAAGTTGAACACTTAGCTAAAACATCTTTCTGATATCTAAATGTTATTCCATTAGAAAATGTCACATTCGTCCCTCTTGCTCATCCCAACCAGTTCTTTTAAATTGTTTCATAATGTCTGACTGACACTGTGTTTCTCCTCAAGAGTTTTTTATGTGTAGGAGTTGGTCTGGCTCATGAATAGGACATACTTGTTGGATTGTTATACCTCACAAATGTTTTTCTCACTGTCTTAACTAGAATAGCCAAGAGCTTCTGCTTCTTTACATTTCACACAGAAGACGGAACTTCAGTAATTGTATGGTTTCTCTTCAGCATTGGTGCCCTGTGGTAGGAACATCCATGTTTAGATTGCTTTGCCATGAGAGATCTTTACCACTGCTGAGGAAGGCATTAATTTTCCATTACAGGTTGAGCCTCCCTTATCCAAAATTCTTGGCACCAGAAGTGTTTTGGAGTTCAGAGTTTTTCAAATTTTGGAATCTTTGCATAAATCTAATGAGACTGGAAATGGGAGCCCAGTGTAAACATGACATTCATTTATGTTTTGTATGCACCTTATACACATCGCCTGAAGGTAATTCTATACACAATATTTCTAATAATTTTGTGCATGAAACAAAGTTTGTGTATGTTGAACCAACAGGAAGCAAAACTGTCACTATCTCAGCCATCCATGTGGACAATTTTGGATTTTGAAATATTTTGGAATTTGGACTTCTGGATAAAGGAGACTCAACCTGTAATGGAAAGTAGAATTAAGATGGTCATTCCACAGTGCATTAAACATAAAATTATCCAATGCTAATCACCATAGCCATAAATTAGCAGTCAGTAAATGTAACTAAAGTTTTCTTATGCAATATGAATTAGAATCTTCCATCTTGTGGCTTCCATCTCTGTGTTTTTTCAGCTTGCACTTCTGACCTTTCTATGTAGATGAAGATCCAAATATATAGATTGTTCAGGCATTGTTTTCAGGGGTGCATTATTCTGAAAGATTTCTTGCAATTAGGAGCATATCTAGTCAGTCTTTAGAGAGCTGTGCTGGCTTCTGGGTGTGACATAGGACCTTATCACACGCTGGCCACGAAACGAAAAGTAACCGAAATAAGAATAAATTCAGTTCTATACCGAAATGAACTGAATTTCGCCTGCGCGGCCATTGCACAATGATTCCGAAAGCTCCCTTGTACTTCCCCGAAAAACCGAATGTCAAAAGATCTCAATTCGTTACGGATTAGCTCCGGGTTCTGTCGAGTTTCGGTGCAACGTCGTGTGCAAACACGGAGAAACAATACGGATTAGCTCCGGGTTCTGTTGAGTTTCGGTGTAACGTCGTGTGTAAACACGGGGAAATAATATGTATTAGCTACGGATACCCTTTGGATTAGGTCTGCTTTAGACCCCGTGTGATAGGAACCATAGTGGTTTAAGTGTTGGACTGCAACTCTGGAGACCAGAGTTCAATTCCCCACTTGGCCATGAAACCACCTGAGTGACCTCAGGCAGGTCACAATCTCTCATTCTCAGGGGAAGGCAATGACAAACTTCCTCTGAACAAATCTTGCCAAGAAAACCCCATAATAAGGTCGCCTTAGGGTTGCCTAAGTTGGACACAACAACAACAACAACAACAAGATGGCTTCTGGTCCATTTCTGGGTGTAATTCCCAAGCGTTGGATTGACCCTTAAAGCCCTTATGGCTTGGGAAAATGATATGTAAAGGGCATATCCTGGGGCAAGGCTGCCAGGTTGAGAACTGGCAATGGCTCCTTCTTGAGTCTCCCTCAGAGATACTAGCAGGACTGGAGTGTTTGGGGGGGAGGCCTGGCACATCTGCAGCCCTGTTGGTACAGCTGCAGCTGTTTGTACTGAATAGTCGCCTCCCTAGATAAGGCAGGCAGTAGACGCTTTACAGCCACCGGAAACAACATTGATCAGTCACTCCATAAAAGACATCCAAACCAGCTCAGAGGCTCAGTCCTGTTCCTGAATCCAAACAATTCTTATGTGCATTTTCCTCTTGGTTTTGGTTCCCGGCTTCTGACTGCTCTTGACCTTCAGACTACTAATGGATCACCCATGTTCTCATTGCCCCAAATGAACTTACACACTCCTGTACCTTTAAAGGTTGTGTAGAAGACAAAATCCCAGCAAATGTTGTTGGTCATGCAACCAGATAATGAGCAACACCTGCTGACATCTTTTCAGATATTTCAACATGGCTAACATGTCACCTCTTAACCTTCTCTTCTCCAGGCTAAACATCCCCAGCTCCCTAAGTCGTTCCTCATAGGGCTTGGTTTCCAGACCTTTCACCATTTTAGTTGCCCTCCTTTGGACACGCTCCAGTTTCTCCACATCCCTTTTGAATTGTGGTGCCCAGAACAAGACACAATATTCCAGGTGAGGCCAGACCAAAGCAGAATAGAGCAGCACTATTACTTCCCTTGATACTACACTCTACTGATGCAGCCTAGGATCATATTTATGGATGCGGCGGCTTACTGATTAAGACGCTGACTCTGAAGATTGCAAGGTCTTTCTATTGGCTATGCTGAGTAGGGCTAGCAGGAACTGTAGGTCAAAAACATTTGGAGGGCACGGTTGTCAACTTTATATAAAATGTGTCAATAACTAGCCATGTTTTCTTTTCCTAATCCACTTTATGACCACAGCCATCTAAATGCAACATCTAAATGCTTTTTATCTTTAGAGCAGGGGTAAGTAACTGTGGGAGGCTAGGGGGCTGGCCATATTACCTACAGGAGACCTTGAGGGGTGCCTCCCACCTCATTCATGATTTTGGTCATCTTGGGCACACTCTGATGTTGCTTGTCCTCACAGTGTGTCCCCATTATCATCTTTAAAATGTTGGTAGGTATGGAGTAGAACAGCAGAGACTCCTAGCTCTGTTTGTATTGTTATTCTGGAGAGCTGTAGATTATACTTGAGTTAATAAAAGAGAAACCTTGGAGAATGGTATGATATGCCCCCCCCAAAAAAAAACTATGCGTCACAAGTTCATACTGAAAAACACATTTCTACTGTCAAATAAAGCCATGATGAAAGATGGATTCAGAAATAGACCAGAGACAGTTGACTCCATGAGAGTTGGGTGGGCAACTGACCATTCCAAGAAGGAAGAAAGATGGCTAATGTGATTAGAGAAAGGTATTCCAAGTCAAGACAGATTTCCTGCAAGGAGGAGATTTCCTTTTCCTGCCTCCACAGCAGCAGATCTGCTGTTATCAGATCAAACTTCTTTATTTCCAGTTCAAGGGATGTAGACTCAACAAAGTTTTTCTATTTCCCATCCAAGAGCCTGAAATCACCATTGCTTAAGATAAAGAACAACCTTTACATCTTAGTGGCTTTCAGATGAACTCAGATTATATGCACTATATAAATGGGGGGAAATGGGTTAGCAAACTAATCTGTGGTGAATTTGCGGTGTCTGAAAAGAGCCTGGCTCCACATTTTTTTCACAACAGGAAATGTCAGAAGGGAAACTGGGTTTCAACTATTTTCTTCCCTATCCCTGCCATGTCATTAAATACACAAGGAAAATAACTATTTGCCATTTTCCCACACTGAATCAACATGTGGAAAGACACAGAAACTTTTTAAGCCTTAGCAAAGTGAGCTGTCAGCTACACTTTGTAGTTTAGCCTCTGGAAACATCAGAATGGTTTGTCAGGATCCTCTCCCAGGTTTGATGTCCACTTCACCATTTGCAAAGGCCATAAACATGTTAGTCTTTAAGACTGTTGTGGCTGTTGTTGTTAGCTACCCTTAAGTTGATCTCAACTCATGGTGACCCTGTGGATGAGACATCTCCAAGATCCCCTATCCTCTTAGGTCCTGCAAACTCATGCCCATAACTTTCCCTTGACAAGACTGCCTAGTCATGTCTGACTGTAGAGGGTGGTGCTTATCTTCGTTACTGAGCCAAAGAGCCAGCATTGTCAAAGATGATCCTGTGGTCATGTGGCCAGCATGACTGCATGGAACAATCTTACCTTCCCACCAAAGTACAGTTGCCCCTCCATTTTCATGGAATTGGAGTCTGTGTCCCTCGCACATTCGTGGGTGTCAAATGAAGCAGGACAAAATGGGGGGGGGGTGCTCACTGCCATTCAGGTAAATGAGGCTTGAATATTGGTGATTTTCCATTTTTGTGGGGGCGGTGTCAGAACAGATCCCCCATGAAAACGATGGGGCAATTTTAGTACCTAATTATCTACTTGCACTTTTACATGCTTTTGAACTGCTAGGTTGGCAGCTATTGGGACTAGTGACGGGAGCTCACTCCATCATGTGGCACTTGGGCCTCAAACTGCCAACCTGCCAATCCTGCAATTGTCAGA